CCCCCCCCCCCCAATAGATGCACATTGGCTGATATTATGAAAAAGGAGTGAATCCTTCAAACTCTCAGGGCTGATCAGCCACCACTTCAGAGACTTGTTCTACCTGAAGAAGTACCAACAACCTGCCCTCTAGATTTCCCCCAGTGCCAGGAAAGATAAGAAAAACGGCTGTAAGATTCTGAAGTGGTGTTGGTCCTACAGGACCATCTGCTGGAAAGATGGCAGAGGCTCTATGAGGCCAGTGCTGAGGCTCATCCAACACTAGGTTGCTCCACTGAAAGTACCAGGAGAAATTCCCAGGCCGAAAACAATTTCCAAGGTGAGACAATAGGCTGCATGTTTGCCTATAAATACTTCATTCTCTCCATGGATAAAGGAGACATTCTTGCTCCTATATCTGGCCGCTGGGATGTTTCAGAGCTGTAACACTCACTTGGCTTCGGCACGGAGCTGTTGTGGCCAGGGGACAAGTGCACTGCTCCAGCCATTGCAGGACCAGCAGAGTGCTGCCATAGCTGGGGAAGAGAGATGCTCCTCTGGCCCCAGCACCAGGACAGAATTAAGAAAGGGGGACCCCGTTAGTCTGGGACCCTGGGCTGCAGTCTATAAAGCCCCTGTGTTCAGGGCCAGCCCTGAGGATGTAAGGGGGGGAGGAAGGGAGGCAATACAGCTCTGCATGCTGCCATTCCTCCCCCCACCTAGCTGGAGCTGCATCACCATCACTGTGAGTGCCAGGAAGCTGTGTTCCTGTACTGCCCTTCCCTGGAGGCTCCACCCACGCAGCTCCCATTGGCCAAGAATCATAGCCAATGGGAGCTGTAGGGGGCAATGCCTGCAGGTGAGCACAGGGCAGTATGTGGCCAACTGTTCACCCTCCTCCAGACTCCTCACACCAAGCCAGAGCCCCAGTCCTGAGCTCCCTCTTGTACCCCAACTTCCACCAAGATCTTGCACCTTCACCCAAACCGCTTACCCTTAGCCTGCTCCCACACTCCAAACCCCGTGGCCCCAGCCTACAGCCGCCTCCTGCACACCTCATTCACAGTTCCACCCTAGAGCCCGCACCCCCAGCCATTGCCCTCATCCCCTTCAACCCTGAGCCCCCACCCTCGCCAGAGACTGTCCATGTGCAGAATGAATTTTGTTATGTGCACCAATATGGAAGTGATGTGTCGCACATCATCTCCATATCGGTACACAAAACAAAGTTTATTCCCCACATGGACATAAAAAATTAGAGGGAATACTGGTCAAGTGTTTTTAGTGAATTGAGTTCCATCTGCACGACAGATGACTGGCAACTAACACTACCTGCACTTGTGGCTGCTAGTCTGGAAATAGTGTTGAACAGCTCTGCATTCTATTTCCTCTGCCCTATCTTTCACATGAATGCCACTTGTGTTGAACTTTAGTTTAATAAGCAGTAAAATCTACTTTTAAAAAATGTAAGCATAGGCCCCTGTAGGGCACACGTCAAAATATATAAACATTGAGATACCTTTTCTTCGCCATGGTTCTGCTTCCTACTTGTTACCACCATTTCTTGTGGTGGTGCACTGCAAGAATCAGTATTCTTTAAGTTATTACTGGAGCATACACTTGATTCTGATCCTGCGGGAGGAGTCCCTAAGAGAATTCTCTTAAGGTATACTCTCTCCTCATTAATGAGACCAAATTTCTGTCTCAATTCAAGGTATTGCTTCCCATTTTTGATTTCAGCAGCCTTTTCTGATGAGCACACCACCTCATTTTGTATCTGAAATCATAAGAATACAATATATAAACAATGATATAGCCATTCACTAATATACCTGTGATAAATAAAACACTTTCTGTTAAAAAGTATTCATTAAGCATTAAACATCAGCTTACTTGGGGAAATTACAATACTATAATATGATCATTGTCTTTTCATCCCCATATATTTATTTTAAAACAGCATACAAATTAACGTTATCAAGTCCTGCTGGTATAATACTATGGGAGGCAAAGAAGCCACCCACCCTAAAATTCTAGAATTATCAAGAAACAGATAACTGAATAGGAAATATTCATTACAATGACATCATCCTAAATCACAGTGTGTTTGCAGTTGCCCACATTTCAAATCTGCCAATAATTCTAGGATTTTGATTGTATATGTTGTCCCCGCTATACGTTGCCCCGCTATATGTCGGTTCCGCACTAACACTGTTGACACTTCTAGGATCTGTTGCATTATAAGTCCTCCCATTCCCTGCTCTTATGTCGCGCGAAAAAAGAGACAATTCTCCCAATCAGCCGTAGGGAAAAAACCCGTTTTATGTCGTTTCGCTATGCATCCATGTTTTTTGGAATGTATCTTGGACATTTAGCGGGGACACCCTGAAACAGGTCCCTTGTGCATACTGTTGTTGTAACCCGATGCCAACCTTTCAACGTCAGAGCATGTCACATAAATACCTACGAGTGTGCACATTTGTGTACCATGTGAGAGGAGAGAGGAAGAGAAGGAGCAACTCTGGTCTCTACAGAGGTGGCAGGTATTGAGAAAGCTCTGGCATAAGTTACCACAAAGCAGATGACAAATAAATTCATACTTCAGTCTCGTTTTGGGTGGTGAGACAAATAATGAACTAAAAATGAAAAGGTATTTTTAATTATTTTTTTTTATCTAAAGGTTCTCAGCCTTAGTATGCATTCCCCCCCGCCCTCAAATGACTTGCGATTCACTGTATTCCCCAATCCTTTGTGGGTACAGAGTCGGGATGTTAAAATGTGATTATTTTTGCATACAAATTCAGAGGTTACATAGTTACACATGGGGAGGGGAAGGGGAGGTTGTTCCCGCCAGCTCCCCACCCCAGTGTTGCTGGTTCTGATATAGAGGCAACAGCACAGCAAGGCTGGGAGGGGAAAAGGGACAGGCGGCTCCCTGCACATATTGGGAACCTGTGTAGCCGTGAAGCGTACACTTTCACATCCCTAGTACAGAGGATTGTGGGGTTTGGGTCATGATACTATTTTTTGGCTATTATGTGTCTCGGCTTGACAAAGCCCTGGCTGGGTTGATTGAGTTGGGATTGGTCCTGCCTAGAGCAGGGGGCTGGACTTGACGACCTCCTGAGGTCTCTTCCATCTCTATGATTCTAAGTGGGTTACGGTTTTAAAAAAAAGTGTCTAGTGTAGGCTGTCTCCCTCTCAGCCCCACCCCAACACATAATCCAGAGTGGACCTCTCCCTCTCACAGCAGTACAATTACGTGCCTGCATTGAGAAAGGGCTGGTGACTGTCATTTTTCTCTCCCCAACCAGGCACAGCATGTGGCGGACCAAGCACCTCCTCTCTTCCCACAATTCTTTCTTGCCAAACGCCACAACTTTTGCCTCCAGTTCTCCCTGCTAGCTAAGCCTGGAACTGCTCCATAGTGCTGATCAGAACTCTTATCTTTACTCAATAACTAGTCAAAAGCCCTATGAGGGAGGTAAATGCTGAGGGCTGCAACTCTCCCAGGCCTGGGAATAGGCCTGACTTCCTATGAGTCACAATCTAGACTAGAAGTCAATAGTTAAGAACAAAGAACAGGGCTATACTACCCAGCTGCCTGTCCCAAAGGGAACAGATATGGCATGTATCATGTTGGCTTGCTTTCTCCTAGTCCTCTGTTGCTATGCTTTTGAATGAGGCAGTTAGTGAGACTGTGGTGACATAAAGAACCAATTATAGAATCATAGAACACTAGAACTGGAAGGGACCTCGAGAGGTCAGAGTCCAGACCTCTGCCCTCACAGCAGGACCAAGCACTGTCTAGATCAGTAGTTCCCAAACTTTTCGGCATCACGCCCCCTTTTTGATTTTTGAGAAACCCTCACGCCACTCCCTCCCCCCAAAATAGCACCAAAACATGGGGGGAGAGGGAAGGAGATTAATGGAGGGGGGGCTGGGTTGCCTCACGTCCCCCCGGAATTTCTTCATGCCCCCCAGTTTGGGAACCCATGGTCTAGATCATTCCTGATCGATGTCTATCCAACCTGCTCTTAATGTGATGGAGATTCCACAACCTCCCTAGGCAATTTATTCCAGTGTTTAACTACTCTGAAAAGAAGTTTTTCCTAATGTCCAACCTAAACCTCCCTTGCTGCACTGTAAGCCCATTGCTTCTTGTCCTATTATCAGAGGCCAAGGGAGCAATTTTTCTCTCCTCCTTGTAACACCCTTTTAGATACTTGAAAGCCGCTATCATACAGCATATATGACTTTAGCATGGTAACATGCTGCAGGATGATTACAACTCTGCACCATCCTGTTCTCTACTCTTCTGTCATTGCTTCAAAATCCTGCCATTCTCCTATCAATAGCTTGATGCTATGTGGGAAGACATCCTCCACCAAAGCATATAGGGAGAAGTATAATTTCACCACGTCTACAGAATCAAAAAGTTCTTCTACACTTTCATTTTCTACCCTCATGGATTGATTCCAGGAAAAACATTACCAACTCATACCATGTAAATGTTGAGAACACGCTCCACTTGCAGAAGCTTAAGGTGAAGCTTGCTACTGCAAACCAGAAAACGAAGCGGAGGTGGGTTGCCTAGGAGCAGACGTTGCACCCTGAATGCAATGAAAACGTGTACAAACCTCACCCCAAGCTACTCCCAGGGAGAGAGGATGATCTTAGCAAGACACAAGGCCAAGCTCGGATGAGGGCCTGATGAGGCAAACAGGGCTGCAGCCCTTGACCTCAGATGCAGGTCCCACTCATAGTTCAAGCTCACTCCCCACCAGGAAGGAAACTGCAGAGAAGAACTCGATAATTTGCAGCTCCTGTGAACAACAGGGGTATATGAAGAAAGAACATGAAGGAAAATACATAGCGGGTGGGGTAGCAGAAGAGGGAGTCTGTAGGACTTTCCCCAGTTGATGGTCCCAGTAGGGGTCCAAGGGAAGGAGTTTGAGATAGCCTGTACCCAAGATTATAATAAATTTTATACAAAACCTACTGTTTGAGGTACCATTTAAAAAGTTATGATTTGCTGATCATTATTGTTCTGGTAATGTGTGGGATAACACTGTATGTAAAGATGTAAGATTCACTGCCTGATATTGACAAAAGGCCTGGGTACTGTGTTTTGGAGGGGAGTAACAAACAAGTTCTCCAGGGGCAGAAGGCTAGTCAGCACCTCAGCCAGGTGTCAGTGAAATGAGATGGGCCAACGTCAGGCACAAGAGAAGGTGTGGGGAAAAACAAACCTACATTCAGACAAATAAGCAGCTTACAGTTCTTGGACCCACAGACTTTCTATCTCCTGAACATCAGTGGGAGATTATTCTTTGCATGATAAATGGCTACAAGAAGGGGGCAGGTGCCCCGAATCATCTCTCCCTTGCTGTCTACCCACAGCATCATAAGCCCCGAAGAACAAAGGAAGGAGCACTGCACTGGGGAAGGAGGAAAGGAGAGATCCTGACTGTACTTAAGCTGTCCTATTGTAAATTGCCTGTGATACAAGTAATTTATTTTAATGTATCAGATAAAAGAGGCACTGTGAAACCTGTATTAGGTAACGTTCATGAATAAACTTATGCCTCACACTCCAGACTAGGAAGAGATACAGTGCTTTCAAGACCTGATGGAATACTATCACCGGTTCCTCTTCAACACTGTATCAATCACACCGATGTGCTAAAAGGCAAAGACCCTAATGACTGGTGAGTGAAAACCCTGAAGATGAGGACATCTGCCTGGCTTGGTCACGTCAACCCAGAGTTCACCCTAGAGTTAATCTCTAAGCAGGTACAGCACTCTCAGGGAGATCTCACATCTAGTCAGGAAGTTGTTTCCCAGGGAGAGGTTGAATTCAATTAAGAAGGAGGCTCTGCTTAGCAAATGGACTGTGTACTTCCTCAAACGGTATCTGCTGGTAGCCCTTTTCCCTGGTCACAGACCATGTGCCCTTGTCATGGCTAGCCACCATGAAAGACTCAACCTCAATTATTCACTGGTATCTAGCACTCCAGCTCTGTAGCTTCTGGGAGAAGCACCAACCAAGGAAGGAACATGCAAATGTGGATGTTTTCCCCCAGGAGGACAGGACTGGAAGGACACTTGCGCAAGAAACATTTCTGGACTGAAGAATGAGGGGTGGCATGTGACGGGACACACTCCCATCCCAATGATGGAAAGCAGAGCCAATTAGGTGCATCTACAGAACCTGCTCCACTAGGAAAATGGGAGCTTAAAAAAAGTGATGCTCGCTACTAGGGAAGGGAGCCAGTAATTGGTGTTGCCATGGACTAGAGGTATTTGGACTAGAAAAAGATCCTGGGAGTGAACGGAATTCCTGCCAGGAGTGCTGAGACTGCCCAGGAGTAAGGGGGATGGCTCCCAAAGGGCACCCGGGGCAAAAGACTACGGCAGAGCCCAGGCTCAGCCAATTACACCCTATAAACAAGTATTTCAAACTATTTTTGGTTTCAATTGTGTGTACGTTTTTATACCGAAGTCCTCACTTCTACTTATACATTGTGACATTTTAACCTCACTTTTTATCAAGCTACTAGGGGAAAAACTTAGGATGGAAGAATCCCAAGCACTGCTATAGGCTGGGTATCGACTGGCTAAGCAGCAGTTCTGCAGAAAAGGACCTGGGGATTGCAGTGGATCAGAAGCTGAATATGACTCAGCAGGGTGCCCTTGTAGCCAAGAAGACTAAGACATATTGGGGTGCAATAGTAGATCAAGGGAAGTGTTATTCCCCTTTATTCAGCACTAGAACCCCCACCAGAGAAAGGGTGTGGACACACTGGAGAAGGTCCAGTGGAGGGCAATGAAAATGATTAGGGGGCTCGAGCACATGACTTATGAGGAGAGACTGAGGGATTTGGGCTTGTTTAATCTGCAGAAGACTAGAGTGAAGGGGGATTTGAGAGCAGCCTTCATCTACCTGAAGGGGTTTTTCAAAGAGGATGGAGAGAGGCTGTTCTCAGTGGTGACAGATGATAGAACGAGGAGCTATGGTCTCAAGTTGCAGTGGGGGAGGACTATGTTGGATATTAGGAAAAACTATTTCCCTGGGAGGATGGTAAAGCACTAGAATGGGTTCTCAGGGAGGTGGTGGAGTCTCCATCCTTAGAGGTTTTTAAGGTCAGACTTGGCAAAGCCCTGGCAGGGATGATTTAGTTGGGACTGGTCCTGCTTTGAGCAGAGGATTGGTCTAGATGACTCCTAAGGTCTCTTTCAACCCTAATCTTCTATGATTCTATGAAGAAACTATGGAGGAAAGTCAATCATTCGCCTCTCTGCTTGTATCTTCCTGTTGGATATTGGAAAGAGATAAAATTTGTGGTTTCCTGACATCCACTTTTATACCTGCAAGCCTATTTCCAAGGCTTCAACAGGTTTGCACAAAGACCTTTCTACTGCAGTGTCTCTGTCTCTTTCAAAGGGAGCACAACACAATTTCAAATAAGCACCCCCCTATTTGCCGAATACCCAGGAGAGGCTGGGTCTGGCTGATAAGACTTACTCTTCCTTCCAAAAGGAGAGCTCCTCCTTGGTTCCATCTGAAAGGGAGCAGAGCTGAGAAAGGCTTCAACAGGTTTGCACAAAGACCTTTCTACTGCAGTGTCTCTGTCTCTTTCAAAGGGAGCACAACACAATTTCAAATAAGCACCCCCCTATTTGCCGAATACCCAGGAGAGGCTGGGTCTGGCTGATAAGACTTACTCTTCCTTCCAAAAGGAGAGCTCCTCCTTGGTTCCATCTGAAAGGGAGCAGAGCTGAGAAA